CGTGTCGGGTTTACCACGGACGTCGCGCGGGCATAATGCAGTGTGGGTCATTGTGGATAGACTCACCAAGTCTGCTCACTTTTTGAGTATGAAGACCACGGATACATTCGAGACCTTGAGCCAGTTATATATCCGTGAGATAGTGCGGTTACATGGAGTTCCGCTTTCTATTGTGTCGGATCGTGACTCTCGGTTTGTGGCGCGATTTTGGCAAAGTCTACAACAAGCCATGGGGACAGAGTTACATTTCAGTACCGCGTTCCATCCCCAAACAGATGGCCAATCTGAGAGGGTGATACAGATTGTGGAAGATATGCTACGTGCATGTGCGTTGGACTTCAAGGGGAGTTGGAGTGACCATTTGCCGTTGGTGGAGTTCGCGTATAACAACAGCTATCAGGCAAGCATTGGGATGGCACCGTATGAAGCATTGTATGGAAGACCGTGTAGATCCCCGACGTGTTGGTTAGAAGCGGGCGAGAGTAGCTTGTTTGGGCCAGAGATTGTTCGGGAGACTACAGAGAAAATTCAGCTCATCCGGGAAAGACTACGCACGGCACAGAGTAGACAGAAAAGCTATGCGGATCGAAGACGAAGACCATTAGAATTCCAAGAGGGGGACTATGTATTCCTTAAGGTGTCCCCCAAGAAGGGAGTATTTCGATTTGGCAAGAAAGGGAAATTAGCACCAAGATATACCGGACCCTTTGAAGTGATCAAAGTTGTGGGCAAAGCGGCATATCAGTTGCGGTTACCAATTCAGTTGTCTGGAGTACACGACGTATTTCACGTGTCCATGTTGAGAAAGTGTCAATCGGATGCAACGCCGGTCGTAGACTTGGAAGACATTGAGATTCAAGACGGAGCAACCTATGAAGAACAACCGGTGAAGATTCTTGACGCCAAGGCGAAAGTGCTTCGCAACAAAGTAATCAAATTGGTGAAAGTCTTGTGGCAACATCATGGAGTGGAAGAAGCTACTTGGGAACCGGAGCTGGAAATGCGGGAGAAGTATCCATTTCTGTTCGTTACTGGAGGTAAGTTTCGAGGACGAAACTTTCTTTAAGGGGGGTGGATTGTAATACCCCACATGCGTTTAAAAAAAAAAAAAATAAAAGACATAGGTGTTCAGTAATTATTTCATTTGAAATGATAAAATAGTATAACTCAAGGAAAGAGTAGTTAAAAGATTAGTTTCGGTATGAAAATGTACAAAATAAATCATAAAAGAACTTGAACTAATTAGGTCGATGTAGAAAAGTATGTAGGATAAGTTAGGATTAAAGTTGGAAGGATTGGAAGTGAAAAGGGGCGCCCAAATGGGCGCTGGGGCGCTGCTCCGGGTACATTGCCTACTCCGGACCAGTTGTCGTAGAATCGTCATAACTCTTGCTACAATGGTCCGATTGAGCTGAAATTTTGACACAATGCAGAAGACATCTAGATCTACAACTTTCATGTTTTCACTTTTTCAGATTCAAAGTTTATCATGATCAAAAATAAGGAAAACAGTAAGTCTGGAAAACCCCCAAAACAGACGATGAACAGTAAAAGTCGGGATTTTTGGGTTTTAAAACACCCATTCCAAGCCCTATTTCTCCCATTCTTCATTTCCCTTCCACTCTAAATACCTTAGAGCCCTAAGAGAAGAGAAAAGGGAGAGAAAAACACCAAGGTCAAGAGAGATTCCCACCTCATAAAGATCAAAACCGAATTTCTCAAGTTTTCTCTTCTCCACCCATTTCTTTTGCTTCTATTCCTCAACCACTCACACCCAAATCTCTAGAAACCCTAGGAGGACGAAATTAAGAGGAAAAGGAAGGAGAATAGGAAGATTTTGAATCTTGGGTCTTAGATTGAAGCTACAACCAAGAGGTAGGGGATTTCTTCCTAATTTCTTACATTGAGGCTAGGGTTTATGTATATACATATGTTTTCCACTCCCATCCATATTTATTTGATATGATTTGTATGATTCTTAATTCTCCTTGTAATAAATGCTATGTTTGAATAATGGGATGGTTTGGTAACCATTAAATTTCTCTTTTTCATCTTCCAAACTTGGTTTTAAGAAAAATTGAGTTTTCTCCATATATTGCCTTGGTTCTCACTTTATAAATTTAGTGTTCGATATTGTTCAACGAAAATGATCTTTATATTGATCTTTTGCTCATTTTAATTCCATCTTGCTATGACGCTTTACTTGTGAAATTTGGGTATTTTGCGATTAATTGGTAAAATGTGAATTGATTGAGAATATGTTGGTTTACTCATTGTATGGTGGTTGGGAGGGACTTGGATTACCTACGAGATATGCCGTAGAGTGTAAATGTCAGTTGAACCCAGTGGGGGGGGGGAGATGGTTTCTTGCACTTGTAGTGAGTTGTCATTTGGTAATGCGACCACTATCGTACGCCTGGAGTTCGAACTAGGGTTGGTATACCATTCCTGGGGAGGGACTCGTCACTGCCATTGGGATGGTAGACGCCCCTTCCCTAAGCACTTGTGATTGTGATTATAAATGGGTGGACTAGGTATAATCGTTGGGTAGATTCATGAGAAACAATCAACATACATGGTACGGGGATGAACCAACATAAATGTGATGATTGGCTGGAATGGCTTGGCCGGTGCATTGGTATGGGACGATGCATCGGAGGGAGCCCCTCCTAATTGACTTAATGTTGGAAATGGTTTGCTATGGTTAAACTTAATTTATTTCTCTCCTTAACTACTGTATGGCTTAAACTTGAGATCTATTTAAAATGTCCCATTTTACTTCAAATTCATATATGTTATTTATGAAATGTGACCGACCCGTTTTGTATTTTATAAACCTTGTTGGAGTTGGGAAGATTTTGCTACAGAGCCTAGTGCTCATCCCCTACTGTTAACATTTTTCAGACTATATCCTTGAGGAGGAGCCAGGAGTCGAGGAGCCCGTTCTTTGGGAGACTCCGATCGACGGGAGCGTAGATCCCGAGGTGGACGCCTAGAGCGGCCCTTCTATTTTGTTCTAGACTAGGCTATGTTTTTTTGAAAGATTGTAAAGTCTAGTTATCTTTTGAAATTCCGCTGCTTATCATAGTTTAATTCTTTGGGAATGTACATGCCATTGTGGGCATATTTTTTTGGGTTAACATGTAAATTTGATGGATTGATTATATAGTAGTTAATTGGACCCGGTGTGGTCATTATAGTAGAATTGCACAGGTTGGATTTTGTGGTAGAGCTCCCCGTACAAAGGAGACTCTGCCCGAATTTTGTTAAAATATCAATGGTTGATGGATAAAAATTTCTTATTTATGGATTTATCTAGTGCTCTCATGATTGTGAAAGGTTTTAGAATGTAATGCCGTCCGAGGGGGTATTTGGGGCGTTACACAATTTCAGTTAATACAATTTACAAAATACATGTAAAACAAAGTGCTTCATAAGTACTACATCAAAGTAACTTGCTTCTAGAGGCTTGTCGTCTTGATTTTGAAGATGAAAACTTGCGACATTGGAGACAAAAAAAGGAGCAAAAGTGAAGGAGAAAGTTTGAGTGCACAATGCAAAGTATAGACCTCTATCACGAACTTCTCCTAGTTAGAGTCTTCTTGAACTTGCAAAACTTCCTTAGTCTCCACTTCTTCTTTCCCAAAAGGATACTAATGTAAATCATCCCAAGGTCAACCTAAAGATCAAAGGAATAAGACAAAACATGACCGACAAATGCACCAAAAGCCAGACGTTGTATCTTCTTCCAACTTCAACAAGTGAATGTTGTCAACCCATGCTCCCTTACCCCCAAGATAAGGATCTACAAAATGACCCAAGGATGGAGGTGAAAAAGAGGTATTAATCTAAAGGAAGAACATGAAGTAAGTTGGTAAAGCCAACTACGGACATGAAGGGGAAAATATAGAGTAATGGCTTTGGCTAAGCCCGAAGGAGGAAAGAGGTTGGGGACTAACAAAGTCATCTTCCATTTTTTTCTCTTCTAGGTCAAGAGGTTCAAATAAAACAACAGTGTTGCACAAGGATATCCTTGAAGAGTTTGGTTTGCTTTGATTGTCTTCTCACACAGCACAAACATACACATCCACGAGATAGAGAGAGAACACACACACACACACACACACACACACATATATATACACAAAGATCTGTTGTAGAGAGAGAGAAAAAGGAGATGGGTTGCGTGATTTGCAAAGAGAGAGAGAAATGAGATGGGTTTATGCGGATTTGTAGCATCGCGACCGGGTTTGGCCTGGAAGCATTTGATAGATGTTTGGGCTGGTGTGATCAACATTGAATATAGAGGCCCAGTTAGGGTGATCCTGTTCAACCATTCAGATGTTGATTTTGGGGTGAAGGTTGGAGATAGGGTTGCACAGATGATCATCGAGAAGAGAGAGAACGAGAGAGAGAGAAAGAGAAAGGAGATGGAGGACGTTGGAGAGAGAGAGGGGAAAAAAAAGGAAGGAATGAAGACTTTTGCTGCTAAGGGGACTCGAAGGATATACCTCATTAAAACCTCAAAATTGTTCTCCTTATTTTCAGCCTTATTTTCAAATTTTTCAAAGAAAACTCTGAAAACAAGCTAAATTTGTTTTATGTTTTTTTTTGACTCAAATCTCATTTTTTCTCCAAATTTTGAGAACAAAAATGTTAAACAAACAAGTTTTGGATGTTTTTGAAATTTTGAGAACAAAAAATTATTTTCAGATCACAAACCAAACATGACCCTACTTTTCCTTAATATTTTATACATATTTTCATTATACTAATACATTCAATTAACTGCAATACAATGCATATCAGATTTTCATAATAAATATAACAATAAGTCCTTAAATTTTACTTCCTGTTTTAAAATAATTCCTGAATTTTTAACTACATCAATTTAATCTTTAAAATATCAATTTCGCATTAATAAAATTATTCCGTACATTTCACCTGTTATAACAAAGGAAGATGAACCCTTTCGTCATTTGGCTCTTCGTATTATGTGCCTTAGGTCCAAATTCAAAGCACTGTTTCTCCCACTCACTTGCACACCCACGCACTTGCGCACAAACACTTACACTTTTTGGGAGTACATAAATAGAGCCACCCTTTGAGGCAGAAGATCAGCAATGGTTCCGCAACCTGTACCACTGACTCGTAAATGTCCTCTTTTGTACCGGTTGGTGGGTCTGTCTCGCAGACCCACTTCGCATTTGAGTAGCCTTAAGACAATTCCTACAAACCCAGTTCAGATAAGTGGACTTAGAAGCTGTTTTTTATCCAGTTACCACCAATTTTCGCTAAATTCTTCAACTCATCGAACCGAAGTTTACAAGGATTTGGGTCGTTCCGCGGTGGGTTTTAGGAACTTGGGTTTTGAAAATTTTCGGGTTTTAGGTGTTTCAAACGGCAGCTCTGGGGGTACTGCAGGGGATGGACGTGGTGGTGACAATTCTGGTGGAGGCGGTGGTGGTGGAAGCGGTGGAGGTGGAAGTGGAGGTGGAGGTGGAGGTGAAGGTGAAGGTCGTGGTGGGAGCAACTGGTCATTGCTATCATGGTACACTTTTTTATATTACTATTTATAGGTTTTTATTCTGAATTTCATTTATTAGGCAATATGAATTTCACATTTCGTTTTCTTTAGTACAGACTTTAGTAATTGAATTGTATAAAAAGCATTAACTCCGGCAAAAATTAACAATGTGAAACCGGCTAAAGAGTTCATAAAGCACAAGCATCAAAAACATAATTATCAAACCCGGCCCGGACATAAACCAGGTAAAGGGATGGGTCAATAAATCACTTGTTCAACAGGTGGACTGGTCGGAAAGGTCATATATTAAAAAAACTAAGAATAATTATCAAAATTAAAAATTATGCTAAAATAATATCAATTATGACAGGAACATGCATTATGTATAGTGAATCAAATGAAAACAGAGGAAATGTCAAACACGTCCAGAATGCATAATGTAGACAATAGCTTCGGTCGTCTTCTTCTTTATTGTCTTCGGTGCGAGCCAGCGATGGCTGAGGTGAGTATGATTATAGCAATACTAATAGTCTAATAGGCATGGTAGATGACACAACTGTTTTAAACATATAAACAAACAGGGGCGGAGCTGCCCCCACTGGAATTTGAAAAAATATTGGGGTGTAGTTGAAATTTTTTGAAGTTTTAGAATTTGTTAAAGATTGGTAATGTATATTTTCAAACACATGGGGTTCCATTAAACATTAGCAAAAGTAAAAAGTTACTTTATTAGGGCACAGGTCCCTATTTCCTTTATTTCGGTCAAGACTCTGTCCGTCTCCTTTGTGATCTTTCTCTGTTTGATATCCATGGATCCTTAGGCTCTCTCTTTGTTCTAGCTCTACACTCTTGAAATTTGTTCTCCTCAGTTTTTTACTCCCTCTCTAGTGGTACCTCTTTATTTTCGACTTCAATTGTTATTGTCAAGATCTATTGGAAAGATAGCTTAGAACGATGATAGCTTATGAGATATTTTCAAAGTTGGCTTGTCAGGAGGTAAACCATGAACGATTTTTTTGATTTCGATCATTATTATATGTATTAATTTTTGGGCCAGTGATTAAGGTTTTCAAATAATTGGATTTTTATATTTGGAATTTATGTGTTATAAATTATTTTTTGGATTAAATCATTTCAATTGGTTAGGCTTGAGTAAATTGATTGTAATGAATTAAGTTATTCCTATATCTAAGATTGATTTAGTTAAATTTTTTTGACCCTAGATTGATTTAATTGACTTGTGGTAGATTTGATTTTTCTAAATTATTTTTGTTAAAAATTGTTCAATTTTTTAAAACTATTTTGATGTTTTCTGCATGAATAATGCATACTAAGTTTTGTCTGACTAAAGAGATTAATTTTTTGATTAACTATTGATAAAAAGTTTTTGTGAGATTCTATAGATGATAACTTCATAACAATTTTTTTTTGCTTGATTTTTTTGTATTTCTCTCGTATATGAAGGTTATGCCTTTAATTGACGTTCTTTTAATGAAATAATGCTTTGATGAAAATAGTGTCAACATTTGGAGTTAAATAGTTATATATTTAAGGTTGCCCCCACTGAAAAAGTTGTCTGGCTCCGCCCTTGTCAACAAATGAGTGTTTGCCGGATAAATAAAAATCCTTAGAATGCCATTCGTGCCTATAATTCATAAACAATATAGGTAAGTAAAGAAAAGAAATACATGCATCAAGCATCAAATTTCAAGACTCCAACTGGCCATCAATCAAAGAATACCCATGAAAATTGCAATATTCAAAGTGCAGTAAAGAATGCATTCCTTTGTGGCGACTTGGAGGAAGATGTTTATATAGATATTTCACCAGATATCATTCTATTGTTGGAAAGGTTTGCAGATTAGAGGACGACACTTTATGGCTTGAAATATTCTTGTAGAGCTTGGTTTGAGCGATTTCTCAAGGCAATGTTTGGATTTTGATACAAGCAAAGAAATGCAGACTAAAGCCTGTTTATCAAACGTAATGGTGCTAAGATTATTGTTTTTATTGTTTATGGGGATGACATAGTGGTTATTGGTAATGATGTGAAGGAGATGTTTCACCTAAAATTACATTGGGCAAGGTAGTTCGAGATCAAAGACTTAGGTCCACTCAAGGGTTGAAATATCGTGTTGAAACGTCTGAAACGTTTTGGATTTTTAGAACACCAACACAAAATAGGGGTGAAAAACAAAAATTCTCAAGTTTCGAGCGAAACGTCATTGTTTTGACCGTTTCGATGGAAACAGTTTCATGATTCTACTGGTATTAGAAAATTGCAGGTCCACTCCAAAAAGAGGAGATATTCTTCCCGTGTATAGCTCATAAAATTGTTGTTCTAAGCTCATAAAATTGTTATTCAACATAACACAAAGAGAGACAGAGTGATAGAGAGACAAAGAGACAGAGTGATAGAGAGACAAAGAGACAGAGAGATAGAGAGCACACCCAGAAAGCGAAAGGAGAAGAGTTCAGATCTAAGCCACCCTCTACTCCTACAGTCTAGATCCAACCTCCATGTATGAGTTTCTTTTTTCTCCTTTTTTCTCTCTTTCTTTCTTTTTCATTGTTGGGTCTTCAGTGGGTCTATTTCTCGGTTTGATCTACAAATTTGGGCTGGGTATTACACCCTCTTACTCTCAGATCTACAGATTTGGGATGGGGATGGGGTTGCCGAGATGGCGGGTCTTCATGAGTCTCAGATCTTTTCTCTCTCTTTCGTTCTGTTGAGATATGAGAAGCAGCATGAAGTTTAATCTATTCCCCATTTTTTTCTTTTATCCTGGTAATTTTTTGTCATGTCTTTTATATTTTGTTAATTAAATTAATGCCTTTTTCCCCTTTTTTTTATTTTATCATGGTTAATAACCCGTGTTATAATTCCCTCATTTTTTTTCCTTTTTCCTTTTATTCGTGTATATTATTATTATTTGCTAATAATATAGCTTGTTTGTTTAATAGCTGCAATTAATTTTATGGTATATACTTTGTTTATTAAATATATAATTCCATATATTTAATGTATGTAAAAGTTGTTTATGCAATGATTAATATTAATGGAATATATTACTTAGTAATTTGATGACAACAATTTAAATTAGTAATTTAGTATTATCATAGCATGCAAATAATAAATTTGTACTCATTTTAGTGTAAAAGTGTTATAGATGTTATATTTAATTTGAAGTGATTTCTGCCTCATGTCAAGCATTTTTTCCTTCTAACTTGATGTTATCTTGTATAATTGGATGTTAACCTAATAAACATGCTCAATTAATCAATTATTAAGTTTATCTTTATAAATAAATGGATTGTAATTGTGTTTCTATATTTTTTCTCTATTTCCGTTGCGTTTCTGAAATATTTTTATTTTCGAGCTGATTGAAACGATACTCCGAAATGATGTTTTGATCATTGGGTCCACTAGAGTGCTTTCTAGGAATTGAGGTTGCTAGATCTGATAACATTATATATCTCAAAGGAAGTACGTTCTTGACCTACTTGAGGAGACTGACATGCTGGGATTTGGACCTACTGACACACCAATTGAGGCTAATGCTGAGTAGTGGCGTATGTGACCATGTGGATAAAGAAAGCTACCAACGACCGGTAGGAAGATTGATATACTTTCGAGCAAATATTACTTATGCGGTTGGAGTTCTTTGCCAGTTTATGGATGACCCTTGTATATTGCATCTAGATGTTGCTCACAAAATTTTGAAGTATCTTAAATTTGCTCTAGGAAGAGGCATGTCGTTCTCTAACCATGGCCACTTGAGGTTAAAGGCATTCATTGCTGCTGCTTGGGCAGGCGTAGTTGATGATAGGAGATTTACCTCTCGATGCTACACTTTTGTTGGAGGGAATCTGGTTACTTGGCGTAGTAAAAAATAGTCTATCGTGGCCAGGTTCAATACTGAGGCAAAGCATAGAGTTACGACTCATTGTGTTTGTGAGCTTATGTGGCTTTAGAATTGGATGTGAAGCCTAGGAATTTCGATTGATAAGCCTTTGAAGTTGTATTGTGACAATAAGGCTACTATTGATATTGTTCATAATCGAGTTCAACATGACAGGATCAAATATATTGAGATTGATAAATATTTCATCTAAGAGAAACTAAATAAGGGGTGATTTGTATACCTTTTGTGAAATCAGGAAATCAATTGACTGATGTTTTCACTAAAGGACTTGGTAGCAAGATTTTTTATCCCATTATTTGTAAGTTGGGCATGAGAGATATCTATGTCCAACTTAAAGGGGAGTGCTAAGAGATGCCTTATAGCCATGAGGGGTATTTATGTACTTGCAGTCTTATTATTATAAATATTAAATATATGGGGCTAAGGGAGATATCATCCTTAATCTAATTATTTAGGCTTTCTCTCAATAACTACTACATACATACAAATCCTCTCTTCCTCTCAACTTCTTCTCCTTTCTCTCTTCATATCTTAACAAGATCGATCTGAATTGTCTAGGGTTTTTGCCAATTTTTTCAGTTTAATAAATGTGTGGAAGTTCTTTGGTCTGAAAATGCTCTTAAAAATTTTTAATCGTTTTTTAATACTTTTTGTGCTGACCGTGACATTCATCTTTCAAACTTTTGTTCATGCCTTAATTGATTCTAGACAGCAAGTTTCCTTTTTCATTGCTATGTCCATTACACTTGATTGTATCCGATTAATAAGATAAACAAAAGTAAGAACAACATCAGCCCAACGGGGTTTTGGCACATGAATGTTAAACATTAAGATGAGGGCAACATCCAACAAATGGTAAAAATTTGTATTTGGCAATCAAAATATGAATATTATTAATAAGATGAATGTTAGGTGGGATATTCTCTTTCTCCAAAAGGTTATCAGCACTATGATCTCTTCTCTCGTTGCAACAATGAGAGTGCTGGTGTTGCCTTATTTGATTCATCTCCCTTCTTTTCTGCATTGGGCCATAATCTTGCTGCAGATTTTGTATCTCCTGGTTTGGTGAAAACATTTCATTTCCCCTTCTCGTGTAAT